AATCCATCCGATCGTTTTGCTCCCGCGTGATTGGTCTAAACGCCGCATGTGACTGAATGTCTCCCAGCTAAAACTAGGTGATATCCGAGAATATCACCGAGGCGATACTCCCCAATTATCAAACCTTATGTTCACTGCGATAAGTCTTCGTTTCAAACTTAATTCAAGATGAAAGAGGGTTTTGTGGTTGTAACAGGAGAAGGGAAATCTCTATTTGTTCATTAAGTCGCACTAGAGAGCACTCAAAAGAAAACATTCCACGCTACATACAGTAAGCTTTTCGCTCACTGTTTACAGTTTTCCCCGAGCTTCGCTCTCGGAAAACTGTTCGCATCTTGGAATAGATAATTTCCGCATCTTGGAATAGATAATGTCCGCAGACAAAAATATCCGCTGAGTAGAGGCTATTGTTTATCTGTCCTTCATATAGTCATATTTTTGTGTGCACTAATAAATCAACAATACCATGACCCCCCTATAGGACCTGAGCTAAGCCGCAAGGGTGACTATTAAGGCGAATACACCAGCTTAGACTGTCTACAATCGGAACTTCATCGACGCTTACTCGGCTTAACCTTGGGCGAGATCTTGATGGAATGAGGCCTCTCTGGCAGTGTACTCAAGGTTTTTATTGTACTGAGTTTAAATTTTCGTGGATTTCGAATAGACTAGGAGTTCAGAGTTACTTTCATACTAGAGAAAGGAAACGTCTTGTAGCGTCCAAGTTCGATGTTTAGGTTGTCATTCAAGAGTTCGAGATTGTGTCATATTCAAATGTAGATTTCATTATCTGGAGGAATTTGATCGACTTGATCAATATAAAGTCTTACGCGTTTTCTTAATTTTCTGATGTAAATTAATGTTCGCCAGATAATAATATAATAAGCGATCAATTAGTACATACAACAACTGTACCATGATCTTTGCCCAAAGTAATATTTTATCCTCGCTTTCGAATGTCTTCCCTCCCTCGACATTGTGGAAAAGATTACTGTGTGAGTGTATGCAAGTGCTACATAAGCTAAATCAGGATGAGTATTAATCTACGGCAATTTCAGGATCAAAATTTTTAGAGCTACTGCTCTGAGATGAGAAGTTATGTTAATTACCAAATTTTAGTCCAAACTTATTGTATTGTATTTATTTTTGTACAATGCAGTTTGTTATTAGTCAAGAATTTATTTGAGTTGAATCAGTATACTTTGCAAACCCAACCTCAGTCTTTTCTAGGGGCAGTTACTAATATTTATTCACTATTTGATGTTTCATATAAAAAATGAAGTTGTTTACTTTGATTTTATTTTTTTAACTTTCAAGTAAGCATCCTCTGACACTCAAAGATACTGATCTGCTGGTTATAATATGGCGTCAGTTTCAAAGGTAAGAGCAAACTGCACAACAACAAAAAGTACTTCCTTTGAAAGGCTAAGTGCTTCATTAATTAGATGTACTCTTTCCAACAATTTCACTGCTCCTCAGGTAAAACCCCGGGCCAGTCACAGTAGAAAATTTCATTGATTGATGCCTCTTAGTGAACAAACCCCTGATCTAGAACTTTCAGTGTCAACCCAGGGCGTGAAATTGCGCCTAATACAGGCGCCAATGCGACTAAATTTTTCACTTTGGCGACCAAATCCTGAAAGTTAGTCGCCAAATTGGCGACTACAACGTTTCATCATAACCTTACCAAGAGATATAGTGAATTAAATAAATTTGAAAAGATAAATCCGCGGCAAACTTCCTCGTTAAGTTTGTTTCCAAAACCTAGCACATGCATCTCGATCGATAGCTAGACGCCATCTTGGATTTAGATGAGCCTGAACGTTGTATATCATACATCCTAGTGTCCACTTTGTAGCATGTTAAAGATCTTTTCCCTAACTTAATTTTGGAGGGTCTATCTAGAACGCTGACAGCGTAAAGAAAGATTTTGTTTGTCTTTGAAAATGGCGACCAACTTTTTTTGAATTGGCTACCACTTTGAAGAATTTAGGAGCCAAGTGGCTATCAGAAAAAAAAGTTAATTTCACGCCCTGCAACCACAAGTGTGACCCAAGAATATATCAGATACACATCATAATATTACCGATTTACATTAATACATGTAAGAGAATTTGGCTGTCATTCATTCATAAAACACACATTGAGCAGTTTGTTTTCTAATTTTTATGTGAAAAAACTGGTGTGTTTTTATGAGCTTCAATTTGGCCAGATCTTACTGAACATTTCATTTTCAAATTTTGTTGTAGTCTAAAAAAACTTCAGATAAAAGTATTAAATTCAACCTGCCAAACTATTTCAGTTTGTAAGATGTTACAGATTGTGTACTTTGATGGTTTGACATTTTTGACAGCTTTAGTGTTATTCAACCAATCAGATTATTTGAACCGTTCTAACAAGGATTCTGATTGGCTTATATCGTAGCATGCTTTATGAGAGTATAGATCATGTTGACGACATTGTTGTTCACTTAAGAAATAAAGTTTGTTTTGAAAATTGATAATAATGCAAGGGGAATATGATGGATTCTTTATCACAAAACAAACAGAGAGGCCTTGACTGTGCTCTGTTCTTTTGTAAAGGACTTAGGAAGTGGCTAGAGCACTAAAGAAGTGTGGAGAAACACTTAAATACATCTCGTGTTTCTCCCTGCACTTCTTTTGTGCTCTAGCCGCTTCCTGCATGCTATACAACAGAGCAGAGCACAGTCAAGGCTTCTTTGTTTGTTAAATAAAACCCACTTAACAGTCCCAGGAATCTTACTTTTTTCAGCCAGTCTTTAAATAGCCAAAGTCTTTATTAAGGGAAAGAACTGAATAAAAAAACTGAAAAACTGAGTAATTTTTACCTTGTACTTTTCAGGTTGATTTGTGCGTGCATCCAGAAGTTGAATGTGAATTGATCAAGGAGAAATCTGATGGAGAAGGAAGGTATGTTGTGCTCTTTTGTACAATGAAATGTTATTTTCTTCAGACTATAATCCTTTACCCTAACAAATGTTTTAAGCCACCTTAAAACTTCCATGGTAAACTTATATATTGTAGCATGAGCTACACATTTCCTCTAACTTAAATAATAAATTTCTTTTACTCAAACAATATTAAAGTACTCCCTTGGTTACTCAAAATAAAGTAGTGGCTACATGTATGCTATTGGCATGGTTTATTTACTGTGACTTTTTAATCCAAAAACTGTGGACAGTAGTAATTAGCTTATCTAAATCTGACTGACACTTTCAATATAATAAGTGGTTACTAGAAATCAATGGACCTGTTAGTTGGTGGCCTTAAAAAAACTGGACCTTGACATAGTTGATAACATAAAATGTTCTGTAAGGCCTGTTCCAAACGTCGTGCTACTGCCGTGCCGAACTCAAATGAAATAGTAATTTCGATTTAAGCATGGCAGTAGCACGCCGTTTGAAACCATTAAGCGCGGCACGGCTGAATTAGGTTCGGCACGACTACTTAGCGCGGCAGGCCTTGCCGTGCCGCACGGCAGTAGCACGACTTGGTTTCAAACGTTGTGCTACTGTCGCGCCGAACTCAATTCATAAATTAATTTAACGGATTTTGCATTATTTGCATACTATTACGCATGCGCACTAATAAAAAAAAGACAAATCTACCCGTTTTGCCCGAAAGCTTGAGAGAAGAGGAATCCGACGGTGACAATAAATTGCTTAGGGTTAGGGTTTGGAAACGCCGGCACGATCGTAATACAGTAACTTGCTGGCTCTCGTCAAGGGAAACCAGAAGAAGAATAAATGAAAAAACTTTCAAAAGTAATCCTCTCCTTGCAATAACAGTATTCAATATGGACTGTTGCATTCGCCTGCGTTACCCTCTGGTATTTAAAATTGTCTTAAACAAAACAAACTTCTCGCGCTCTTCGTTAAGGTTTCCCTCCGCCATTTTGGATGGGGCGATACCGCTGGATGGATGGTTTGTTTTGTCTTTTGAATTTGGCGCGACTGCATTAAGTTCGACGTTTGAAACCGCTGCCGTGCTATCGTCGTGCCACTGCCGAGCCAAATTCATTTGAGTTCGGCACGACGTTTGGAACAGGCCTAACTTATATTCCTTCAAATTACACACAAGTACTTGAAAAGAGGGTTTCAGTTATCCTCAGTTCAGGGCTATGCAGTGTTTGGAATACACTTTTTCACTGCTTCAAAACAGCCAATACCTAAATGTCCAACTATAACCCATCTTGGAAAAATCAGAATCCGCTGTCATTATGCTATGCTTAATGGTTTTCCCCTGCATTGAGGGTAACATTGCATTTATAATGCTTCACTGTATAAATGAGGCTAAGTGTGATTAATTCATCAAAACTCTTGCTGATTTTGGCCAAAATGAAGCAATCTGAGGAAAGTTGTGAGGGAAAAAAGTCATCTTTGGCACCTCTTTCCCATTTCCAGTGTTGGGTATTTCTAGAATGCAACTTCTCTGCCACATAAAGTTGACAATTCCACATTGAACCAGAATAGAGAGGGGCAGAATCAGCAACTACCAAAATTTCCCACCCTGCAATCAAGTTTGTCATTCCAATCATAACTTTTGTCTAAAGTTAACGCAACAATTACATTCTTACAGGCCTGATCTGGCTGAAAATTATCTTCGCCTAGAAGTTCAACTGGCTTTAAAAAAATTTAAAAAAAGTCAGTGTGAAGATCTTCTTAAGGCTACCTGTGCCTTACTCAACTCTGGTGGTGGAGTGCTGGAGATGAAGATAAGTGATTATTCACAGCTGGAAAAAGGTACTTTTTGGCCAAAGTTGGACAAGTTTTGGCAGACATTTGAGAACTCATTGGAACCTGTATTAGAGCCATTGTGCTACCCTGACCTCATTGACCGTGTTGTGAAAGAGGATGTGGTCTTTCTTTTTATCAAAGCAGCAGATTGCTTGATCAGTATAGGTTGCAAATTGTATGTGGCTGGTGATGCCAGAGTACATAGAGCATCTTTCACGAAAACATTAGAGCTTCTTGAAGATAGACCAGAGTGTAAAATCCCTCTTGAAGAGCTTCCTCCTCTGCCTGAAACTTTTGCTTCTGAACAGGTGCTGGATTTTCATGAGACAAAAAAGGAGCAATTTAAAAATTACACACCCGAAAAAAAAACAACACAAATGAAACTCCTTAATAAAAAAGATGAAATCAAGAAACAGATATCTGCCTTTGCCAATGTACTTGGAGGGATAATTCTTTTTGGCATCTCAAACAATGGCATTGTAGATGGTCTGAAAATAGACTCTGATGAACAAAGTGTTGAAGAGGTTGAGCAACAAATTGAGTCTATCATTGGAGAAATGAAATGGTGTTATACTCCTCAGAAATTAGTTCACTGGAATGTTAAATTCTTCCCAGTTGAGGGGAAAGAAAATTTTTTTGTTATAGCAATCTATGTTGCTGGAATGAGTGGTGCTGTGTTTGCTGAGAGTCCAGAGAGCTATAAG